TACAGTCTCCGAGAGTTCGAATACATTAGTGAACAACTTAAAAACCGTCCTATAAAAATTAAAGAAGAGTTCGTTCACCACTTTGAGCGAGACAAAGCGGGAAAGCTTGTGCCTATGCCACCAACGACCATTTACAAAGAAGCTGTTGTCGCAAAAATTGCATATCAACTTGAGGACTGGAATGTTGGGACTAAACAGGGTGGGGTTGTGACAACTTCCCAAGGAGGTTTCAAACTTGGTAATGGTGAGATCAGAGCGCCAGATGTGGCTTTCACATCAAAAGAGATTTGTCATAGATTATCGAACAGGCAAATCTGGACCTTTCAAGGTGAGGCATTCAGTCCCACGTTCGTCGTAGAGGTGAATGACATTGATAATATCCAAGGGTAAGTTACCTATATTGCCAGTTTTATCAAACTAATTAGAAACGATCAACTTGATTGCATGATTTCTAGACAAAATCACTTACTTGATAGATCAAAATTTCGTGAAGCGGATTCAAAGTTTAAAGACGTTTACTTTGCACGAGGTACATCTGTTAAGATGGGTCTTTTGGTCGATCCAAAGAATCACCACATCTGGATTTACAAGCGAAACCCTGGCACCAACGTCTTTCAACGACGGAAGATGAGGCACTGGAAGAATGTGGATTTAAATGACTGTCTTCCAGGCTTTATCTTGCGCGTATATCAACTGGAAATTGAACCACTCGAGGTGAGTTTCTTATCGTGATTTTTGTCATAATATTTTAGGATTATTTATTGAATGGTTTGTAGAATCCTGTGACGTCATCATCACCAATGTCAACGGGATCATCACAACCATCAGAGGAAGAGGCAGGAACATTGCGGTGCCCCTATCCTTCATGCGAAAGGGCTTTTGAAAATATTTACCTTGCAATTCAACATGCTAGACATGACCATTGATTACTATGGGTAAGAAATATTTATGAAGACAGTGTTTCCCTCTCACACAGGTTCTGGGATTACGTGTTTTAAAAACAGATTATTGCTGTAACATTGTATTCTGTTTACTCAAATAGCTAACTAAAGAATATCCAGTGATATTAACTCCCGAGAATATTTGGATAATTGGGAACCATCTACTCAGGAATATTATTTAGTTTTCTACCACGAAATACGCCCGATATTGGACAAGTTTATACAAATATACGGTACATGCCAGTATAGCGACTTTTACGAACTCAAAGATATCGGATCTGGTGGTACGGAACAGTACTGCTAAATATAATAATAAAGGAGAAGTGATTACAAACAGTTTAAGAAACGCCGGAATTATTTATTTCCGAGGCAAGCAATAATTGGTAGTATTAGTTAAAGTGATTATTATTTAATAGTTCAGAAATCATGCCCAAGATTATTATTATTCTTCATCCCTTAAAATGGAGTAACTGACACAAGACCCAGAAACAAAATAATATGCGTTTATATGTGTATGGGATATTGCAAATTATCTAAAAAGTATTCATGATGCGGGATTAGTCTTCATGGCAGGTTCATGGCAGGTTCATGGCAGTATTGGTCACCCATTCTTGGTCAGTGAATTCACGCGAGTCAAATTCAATTGAGCGAACAAGCGAATACATGCATTATTTGTAAATGCCAAGCAGAAACTAGAAAGTCTCAATCTAATTTCCTGAAATTGATCTTTTACTTTCTGAGTAACTAAACTGGGAGAGCGCTCGGTAATTGGCCTTGGGATTTAGCTCTTTCAATCGAGGCTTGGCTAACTTCTACTCCGCTAATACAGTTATGGTGACCTT